TATTACGGCTCCAGGACTCGTACTCTGCCTCATGTTATTTCTATGGCGAAAGCCAGAAAGATTCTTCGACGGGGTGATTGCCAGGGTTATCTTGTAAGCCTCGTTGGAGATAAGACAAAGGCACGTTCACCTCATGATACTCCTATCATTCGTGAGTTCATGGAAGTGTTTCCAGACCAGCTTCCCGGAGGTCCACCTAGCCGACAGGTGGAATTTTCTATTGATCTTATCCCTGGAGCCTGACCCGTTTCAAAGGCACCGTACAGAATGGCGCCTAAAGAATTGCAGGAATTAAAGACCCAAATTCAAGAGTTTCTGAATCTTGGTTTTATACGACCGAGCGTTTCTCCTTGGGGAGCACCAGTTTTTTTTGTGAAGAAGAAGGACGGATCCATGCGTATGTGTATCGACTACCGAGATCTTAACCGGTTGACGATCAAGAATAAATATCCGCTCCCCAGAATTGATGATTTATTTGATCAGTTGAGGGGTGCCTGCGTGTTTTCCAAGATTGATTTGCATTCAGGCTACCATTAGCTGAAAATCAAGGAGTCAGACATACCCAAGACAGCCTTTCGTACGAGATACGGTCACTTCGAGTTTGTGGTTATGCCGTTTGGCCTCAGTAATGCCCCAGCAGTATTCATGGACTTGATGAACCGTGTATTTCATCCTTTTCTTGACCAGTTCATTATTGTCTTCATTGATGATATTCTTATTTATTCCAAGAGCCAGAAGGAGCACGAGGAGCACCTGAGGGCCGTTCTTTCGACCCTTAGACGCGAGAAGTTATATGCAAAGTTTTCCAAGTGCGAATTTTGGCTTCAACGAGTGTCTTTTCTGGGCCACATCATTACTTCAGCAGGTATTGAAGTTGATCCTTCCAAAATTGCTGCAGCCCAGAATTGGTCAGCATCGAAGAATCCGTCCGAGGTTCGTAGTTTCCTCGGCCTTGCAGGTTATTATCGCAGATTTATAGAGGGGTTCTCGAAGATTTCCCTCCCTTTGTCTCAGTTGACGAGGAAGTCTGTAAAGTTCGAATGGTCAGACCGTTGTGAGTCGAGTTTTCAGGAGCTGAAAAGGAGGCTTACGACGGCATAAGTGTTGACTATTCCAGATCCTTCTCGGAGCTTCACCATCTATAGTGATGCTTCAAGGCAGGGTTTGGGATGTGTACTTATGCAAGATGGCCAGGTCGTTGCTTATGCGTCACGCCAGCTTAAAACACATGAACAGAACTATCCGACGCACGACTTGGAATTAGCTGTAGTTGTTCATGCCCTCAAGATTGGCGACACTATCTATACGGCGGTCAATGCGAAATCTTTACTGATCATAAGAGCTTACAATATATCTTTACTCAGTAGGAGCTCAACATGAGACAGCGCTGTTGGTTAGAGCTCGTTAAGGATTATGATTGTACAATTCAATATCATCCGGGAAAGGCGAATGTTGTTGTTGATGCCCTAAGCCGCAAGGTGAAGGGTGATCTGACATACGTTGTTATTCAGCAGAGTCAGTTGATACGAGAATTCGCCCAGATGCGGATTCAGGTGATTGATGCACTTCCTACTGCCAGTACAGGGAGTGTGAATTCTATGCAGGTTCAGCCAACACTGAGGGAGAGAATCCGGCAAGAGCAGGCTTCAGATGAGTTTATTCGTACGATTGATGCCAAGGTTCGTGCCGGAGGCGTCGAGGGTTTTCATCGAGGCACTGATGGGGCCTTAGAGTCTCGTGGCAGGATTGTGGTGCCGAAAGTCGAAGCATTGAGGAAGGAGATTTTATTTGAGGCTCATACCGCACCCTATCTAGCCCATCCAGGAAGTACAAAGATGTACCATGACCTGAAAGGGTCGTTTTGGTGGAAAGGATTGAAGAAAGACTTGGCCGACTTTGTAAGAAGATGTTTAACCTGTCAGCAAGTCAAAGCCGAGCATAAGAGTCCCATAGGCCTTCTACGACCACTGCCGATTCCGAGATGGAAGTGGGAGGAGGTTGCGATGGATTTTGTCACGGGGTTACCGAGGGCGTCTGAACATCACGACGCTATCTGGGTCGTGGTCGACAGATTGACTAAGGTTGCTCATTTGTTGCCAGTATCGATGAGTATGTCTTTGGATCGGTTGGCATAGATTTATGTCCGTGGGATCGTTCGACTCCATGGAGTACCTGTTACTGTCGTGTCAGACAGAGACCCCAGATTCACCAGTAGATTCTGAAAGAGTTTACACGAGGCGATGGGTACAAAGCTAGCCTTCAGTTCAGCCTACCATCCCGAGACTGAAGGACAGACGGAGCGGACTATACAGATGTTGGAGGATATGTTACGCGCTTTGATTGTTGACAGGGGTGCTAAATGGGAGTCGTTATTGCCATACGTTGAGTTAGCGTACAACAACAGTTATCATTCTTCTATTCAGATGGCTCCTTATGAGGCACTATACGGTCGTAAATGTCGTTCCCCTCTTTATAGGGACGACGTCGGTGAACGTCGAGTACTCAGTCCAAAGCTGATCTAGGAGACAGCCGAGCAAGTCGAGTTGATCAGACAGAGACTCAGAACAGCTCAGAGCAAAATGAAATCAACCGCCGATCATCATCGACGAGATATTCAGTTCGAGGTTGGCGAGCACGCTTTTCTCAGATTTAGTCCATTTCGCGGAGTTGTTCAATTCGGGAAGAGAGGGAAATTACACCCTCGGTTCATTGGCCCGTTCGAAGTACTCGAGCGAGTGGGCGATGTTGCGTATCGTTTAGCCTTACCTCCCGAGTTATCCAGTGTTCATAATGTCTTTCATGTATCTATGTTACGCAAATACGTGTGCGACCCCGATCATATCATTCCTCATACTGATATTGAGATTCATCCAAACTTATCTTACGAGGAGCGACCGGTAGCTGTGTTGGACCGACAGGTTCGACGGCTCTGGAAGAGTAATTGTAACACCCCACTTTGATTTTACAGAAATTTCGAATTTTTCAAAAACTAGTATAAAAATTTTCAAAATCATTTTCGAAAACTTAGTGGGTGTTAACTAACATTTTTCATATCCCTAGTCTTATCTGGGCCTACGGTGATTCATTACCCGGTTTTCACAATCGGTTTCCATC